AGGCCACCTCCTTCTCACTTCCGCCCCTCGTTCGCCGCCGGTCTTTGGTCGCGAGTGTCTGCGATGTTGCATCTATCTTGCAGCGTCGGATCTCGGGGCAGGCCCCCGGGGCTCTCCCAGGACCGCTGCTCGAGGGGCCCAGGCCCCGTGGATAGGGAGAGCCGGGGCAGTCTGCCCGGGCATTCGCGCGTAAGCTGCACGCGTCAGGTCGCGCGTAAGCGCCCTCGTTTCCACTGTAGCGTTCCGCGCTGGCTCAGAGGAGGACAAGGTACCCACGCCGCTACCCTTCCCTCGTTTTCTGCAGATGCTGGCCGCTGGAGGGCGCCACACGGTGCTGCTCAGGAGCGACGGCGCCGGCGTGGCCCGCGGCGGGAATCGTGTTGGTCAGTGCGACCTCCCGGCGCTGCCCGCGGGCCTGACCTACATGCAGGTCGCCGCTGGACAGTGGCACACGGTGCTGCTCAGGAGCGACGGCACCGCCGTGGCTTGCGGTTGGAATGATGGTGGTCAGTGCGACCTCCCAGCGCTGCCCGCCGGCCTGACCTACACGCAGGTCGCCGCTGGAGTGTGGCACACGGTGCTGCTCAGGAGCGATGGCACCGCCGTGGCCTGCGGCGTGAATGATGGTGGTCAGTGCGACCTCCCAGCGCTGCCCGCGGGCCTGACCTACACGCAGGTCGCCGCTGGAGAGCGCCACACGGTGCTGCTCAGGAGCGATGGCACCGCCGTGGCTTGCGGCGGGAATCATGTTGGTCAGTGCGACCTCCCGGCGCTGCCCGCGGGCCTGACCTACATGCAGGTCGCCGCTGGACAGTGGCACACGGTGCTGCTCAGGAGCGATGGCACCGCCGTGGCCTGCGGCGGGAATCATGTTGGTCAGTGCGACCTCCAGGCGCTGCCCGCGGGCCTGACCTACACGCAGGTCGCCGCTGGAGAGCGCCACACGGTGCTGCTCAGGAGCGATGGCACCGCCGTGGACTGCGGTTGGAATGATGTTGGTCAGTGCGACCTCCCGGCGCTGCCCGCGGGCCTGACCTACACGCAGGTCGCCGCTGGAGTGTGGCACACGGTGCTGCTCAGGAGCGATGGCACCGCCGTGGCCTGCGGCGTGAATGATGGTGGTCAGTGCGACCTCCCAGCGCTGCCCGCGGGCCTGACCTACACAGCTGATTTGTGTCCAGCGCTGCTCCTGCAGGTGTCGCTCGATGGCGGCTCAATGGTTTTCGTGACCATCGGCGGGGTGGAGCGATGCAGGATCAGGGCGGCGCCCACCGCCCGCCTCGCAGTCATCTACCTCCAGCTCGTGGCCGAGCACCGCGCGGGCAGGCTGGGCCCCGGAGCCTGGCGGGTCGAGGCGATCTTGCCGGGGGGCCGCCCGCTCAGCAGCGCCGCGGCCGAGGAGACGGTCGCCAGCGCATTTCCCGCCGCAGCCTGAAGCGTAGGGCGGCGTTCGTATAAACAGAGCGCGTGCCGTTTGCCAGGGCAGGTGCGCGACATCGCCGACGCGGCGCCGACCCCATACCGCCCCTTGCTTGCCGAAGCGATGCGGCCTTCCAGCGGCAGGAACGGCGTCGTATGTCTGTTTTCTGGTCGCCGTGCAATTTCCTTCAGGACGTGGCCCCCGCCCAGGCCCTCGATGCTGCTTTTGACTTTCTCCATGCTGGGCCCCCTGGAGGTCTGGACCTTCTTCTCAAGCAGTGGCGAAGCGTCCTGGCTCGCCTACAGGCATACCGAAGAATGTTCTAAGAACCTTTTTTGGTTTGCACGAAATGTTCTTAGAATCTGCCTGGCTGAGTCTGTCTTGTTTTAACACATCGGGTTCATGTTCTAAGAACATTACTCTTGTTCTTAGAACATGCTGGGGTTCTGAGAACATGTCGTGGTAGGCCTATAGGAAAACTAGGACGGTCGGTCCCTGCTCAATCTTCCTTGGGGCCAGCTCCTCATCCCGAGTCCGTTTTGCCCGCGGCTCCCTGGGGCTCGGCGAGGGCCCCAGCTGGGCCGGGCGCCGCGGAGCGCCTCCGCCTCGAGCTGCTCGGGGCGCGGGGGCAGGCCCGGCAGGGCCCCGCGCGGCCCCAGTCGCCCACGGGGGCGCCCGGGGCGGGCCCGAAGGGCGAAGGGCTGGGGGCGGGGGGGCTCGGGCCGCCCGCTCTGCGGCCTTCGCGCCCGTCGCGGCGCTCCTCGCCTCGCTTTCCCTTTTTTCGGGGCCTCCTGGGAGGCCCTCGTCGCCACCGCTGGAATCCGACGCGACATCCTGGCCAGAGTGCACCCAGGGCGAGGTCTGGGAAGTGGCTGCATCGGTGCCTCCTGGTTTTTCTCCAGAGCAAGGACACAGCGTGACAGGAACCACCGATGTGAGGGCGCCAATTATCAGGCTGCACCGGCGCTCGCCAGGCCAACCCTGAGTCCAGGAGGGGCCTGGCCCGGCTGGAGCGAGGTGGAGCGTCTGAAGGAGATTCTGGAGCCACCGTGGAGCCATCTTGGGCGGCTTGGGGCCGTCGTGCAGGCCAGCATGGGCCATCATGCGTAGTTTGGAAGATCATCTCGGGATATCGCGGGTCACATTGGAGTTGTTTTCCTCGTTGTGTTCCGCAGGCCTTACGGCCGGTGCCGCCGACCCAGAAGGGGGGACGACGATGACAACGGCGGTGGCGACGACGACGATGCTGACGCTGATGTGGGCCATAGTCCTCCCAGATGCTTCTCGGTGTCTCTTCGGAAGGCTCTCGAGGACCTCGAGGGAGGAGTTTTGGGGCACTGAAGCTGCATTCCTCGTTGTATTCCTCAAGCGGTGCTTAATTGAGGGGTTCTTACCTGCCTTGGCAAGTAATTCAGTGACTCCGACGTGGTTTCGCCCGGTGGGCGGCTGAGGCCTCGTAGGGGGCCGCGTGCGCTGGCCTCAGGCGCGCGGGCGCTTCCTGGGCGCCCCGTGCGCTGGCTGGGTCCACCGAAGGTTCGCTCGTGGGCGCCTGTGGCCCGGCCGGGCCCGACGAGGTCTCGCCTGGAAGGCGCCCGTGGGCGTTGCGTGGGCGCCCCGTGCGCTGGCTGGGTCCATCGAGGGTTCGCCCGGCAGGCGCCCGTGGGCGCTTCGCGGGCGCACCGCGCGGGGGCGGGGTCCGCGGAGGGTTCGCCCGGTGGGTGCCCGTGGGCGCCCACGTGGGGTCCGCTGTAGGTTCTCCTTTCAAAAGAGAGACCCTGGGGTATTCTTTGTTTCGCGATCTCTTTTCTGCACGATCGCTCGTTCTCAATATCAAATGGTAATCCCAGGCGAGCGGGCATCGACCCCCTCTCCCTGTCAAAAAATATAGTGCGCGCGCAGTCGTTCATATCAGAAGATCAGTTTGAAAGAACCCCTTGCCGAATATTCCAGCAAAACCACACGCGCGCGCGTATGTCGAATCCGTACCGAACACACTATTGCTGCAAGCAGTTCAACATAACACCTAAGAAACAGTAGGTTGTTCGTCGACAGTAGTGCAGAAAGTCAGCTCGCGCGCAGTTGAGTCTAGGGATCTCGTCCAGAACCCGCGTTCTGATTTCACAATGCGCCGCATCTGTGTTCATCTAACATGCGCCCAGAGTGCGAATCCGCATCACAGATTACCATGCGGGGCACACTCGCGCGCCGCCACGCCCGCGTGTCGAAATCCTTACAACATCATTGTTTTTTTCGAAACACTTCAGTACAGCGCTCTTCAGACACATATGGAGGCACATGCACCCTTTTCAACGAGCATCTGGCAGGGTGCTTGAATTTCTGCGCGCGCACTTCCTCATCACCCGCGTCAGCGCTATCGCATCACCGCCGTTATTGTCATCGTCGGTCGCCGCCATTGCCGCCGATATCAGTCAATCACGATATCCTCCTACTCTTCCTCTTCCTCCTCCTCTTCCTCCTCCTCCTCCCTTCCTCCTCCTCCTCCTCCTCCTCCTCCGTCTGTAGCAATTTTGGCTCAAGTCCAAACCGCGGGACCTTGGTGGCTTGAGCTTGGTCGTAGCCGTGAGGTCTGGGTCGAGGCTGCCTGCTTTCAGGACTGTGGCCCGTGTGAGTTTCATCCACCGCGACATGTTGTCAACGGATATCCGTGTTCACCTCTCTCGCTGCTGCCATGCCTTCGGAGGATGAGATCATGGCCGTGCTGCGCAGTATGCAGGCGCAGCTGGCGTCCGGCATGCAGCGCATCAACACATCGATTCGCCAGATTGATGCAACGGCTGCTGGATTTTTCAACTGGACCCGCGGATGGCGCAGGTGAGCGTACAGATACTGGATATGGAGCAGAAACTGAGCAAATTCGAGGAGTGCATGAAAGCCGTGAACACCGTTAAGATCGCGGTCCCGGACGAGGATTCAGACGGTGCGGGTGTTGCTGCTGGGATCAGTCACAAACGTCGCTGGGGTATTGTCTCTACTGGTTCTGCTTCGTCTAGCGGGCTTGGTGGAGGCTGGGAACGCCGGCCACCGCCACAAGACTCATCCAAGTCGCGCCGCCGCTGGATCGGAACATAGCCCATGAAGGTTTTGGACATCACCCGCCGCGCCACGTGGGAGAGCATGGTCGCCCGTCTCCTTAAATCTTCCACGAGCAGATGTTGCGCCACATTTTCATAGTTCCTCTCAGAGTTTCTCGGCGGATTGCTTTATTGAGCAGCAGGTCAAGGATTTATCTTCTGGCTTTGGGATGACTGGAGTGCGGTGGGTGGATCCTAGGACCCTACAAAGCCAGAGGGACACCTGCAGCGCACTACTGAGCTTCGTTGCGCGGAGATCTGCTTCATGAATGAAGTTCCAATGTGACTGCGTCGCTTCGGTCAGGCGTGGGCGCCGATGGTGAAGTTGTGGAAGGAATGTCCAAACTGGAACACGGAGTGCAGATTGGCCTGCTCGGGTTTCTCATGGTTTTTCCAACGCGATGACGCTCGCGACTCGTGACGACGTATGCGACTTCATCAAGATCGACAGTTCGGGCAACGTGGATTGGGTGAAGGATGATTGCGAGGAGTGGGGCGTCGATGGGACGAAGATCGCACCCATTCTCGTGATGCTGAACATTATCTGGCGGTTTTTAGAAAAAGGGTTGAAAAAAAGGGTTTGCTTGTTTTTCCTATGTTTTTCTGCGGGCGTTCATTCTTTCGCCTCTCCTTTGTATGTTGCTCCAGGAGCGCCGTTCCGTCTGCTCTTCGGATGTCTTTGCTGCGTTCGGCGCGGTGAGTGGGGCTCACGCGCTGTAGTCGAAACGCTTTGACGTGCTTCTTCGTCGATCTGAGAAATTCGGCGCTCTCTTACTTCAAGAAGTACACGGGCACTCTTGGGGATCTTAGCTATCTCGCTTGTCTGCTCCCTCATCGTCGGGTTGTTGGCTCTATCTGCAAATATGGGATATGCGGTGATGCTCTCAGCGCGCGTGAACGGTTGCTCGCGCACTTCGACGCGCGCAACACAATGGACATGCATTTTGGCAGGTGTCTTGCTTTGGAAAGGAAGGGCCCCCGTGGCTCTCTGACCCCATGCGCTTCCCACTTCGGTCTGATCGACCGCATCGTATCGCCAAATGTGCACTTGGCCCAGGTCGCCCGCATGCTTAACCCATTTCGCTGGACCGCCACTGTCGGGGGCGATTGGATTTTTCGTGTCGTCGGTCAGTCGCGCCATCAGGTTGACCCCGATAATGACCGTGCACCGTCCGGCTCGCTTGCAGCAGGGAACGGTGTAGATCGTTCGCTCCGTGCGCCAATTCATCGCAGGAAGATTGCGCGCGCTGCAATCGGCATAGTGGGATCATATTAAGTACTGATCGTCTTGATCGTTGATATACTAGCAGTCCTCCTTCGGTGATCTTATATTTCGCGCGATATTCGTGATCGCGCGTCCATGTCTGCGTGCTTCTCTGTCCTGTCGCCGAACGCAGTGCCGACCCTTCATTCTCGGTTGACCCGCTTGCCTGACTATGGCCAGGTGGACGGGGGCCACGGGGGGGCGCGGTGTCCCATGCGAGCCCGCCGTCGCCGTGCAAGTGGCGAGCCGACCGCGCATGCTGTAGCTAGTGGTGCGCGAACGAGCACGCGTGCATCCAGTTGCCTGTGCGCTGGGCGCAAGATAGCTTAGCGGACGCAAGCAGGATGGTCAGAAGATGGGGCCCGCTGTCCGCCGCCCCCTTCGCCTCGCAGAGTTCGCAGGCGCCGGTGCCAGTATGGTCGACGCCAGCCGCTTCTACGCGGGCGCCGCCGCTCGCGGCCGCCTGGAGTTGGAGGGGGCCGAGAAGAATTCGTTTGAGATTTTGCCGCGTCTCCGACGGCTGGGGCCGCAGGGCTTGCCAACGTTGAAAGACTGCCCAGGGCTTGAGCCCCCCGTCGCGCGGGGGCGGTGCACCGCGGCGCTGTTGGCCCCGAGGGGGCCCCCCGCTCGGCAGCGCCAATTGCGCTCGGCCCCTTCCAGGGCCGCCAGGCCGAAGATGCCGGGCGCCCCCCCCCCCCCGCCTGCAGGATGTGGAATTCGCTCCTTCGGCCCAGAGAACCCCTTAGGACGCGATTTGGACATTGGGCCCTGGGCAGTTCAATGAGAT